GAATGCAAATTAATTAGCACACAGAGCTCAAACAAAACCGAATAAAACACTCAGATATAGTAGTTATAACAACTTGTTCTGTTTTTAAGGTTGGAAAAAAATCTTCAGCACAGAGCTGTAGTACTGAGTGACATTTGCAAAACTAAAATTAAACCTTGTTTCTGTGTATTTTTCAGTCAGATGGTGGGAGTGGAGTACATCCTTCTTCATGCTCAGGAGCCCATTCTTTATATAATCAGGAAACAACAGAGGCAGTCACCAACACAAGGTGAGCAGTGTAGCGTAGTATGTTTATTTTATTTGAGTACAAGTAATTAGATTGTGATTATATAAGCTCATACTCATGGCTGTCACAGGAATGTCAACATACACACAATCTTTCTTATCGCCTCTTCCACTTTATGTTTTCACCCTCCAGTGATTCCCTTGGCCGACTACTACATCATAGCAGGAGTGGTGTATCAGGCCCCAGACCTGGGAACCGTTATCAGCTCCAGAGCGGTGAGAATTTCTAATTCAATCCTATAAAATGCACCTGGGACAGAGTTTTATAAAGGCTGTTGGAGGGTGCAGTTTGATAACACATAAATCACATCTGTTTTAGCTTTCTGCTGTCCATGGAATCCAGTCTGCTTTTGATGAGGCCATGTCTTACTGCCGCTATCACCCATCTAAAGGATACTGGTGGCACTTCAAGGACCAGGAAGAGAGAGGTGAGGTTTCAGCAGTTCGTTTATATTTACAGTGGAGACATCTGGGTGGTAGTTTTATCGGCAGTTCCTGTAACGACTTCACAGATATTAAAACAACAAATCGTGAAGACCCCAAGAACCCCGCAGTCCCAGAATGTTTATAATAGTGAGTACAAGTTTCATATGATGATTTTGGCTCTTTTACAGAAAAAGCCAAACCCAAGTCGAAGAAAAAAGAGGAACCGAGTTCACTGTTTCAGAGGCACCGTGTTGACACACTCCTTTTGGACCTCAGGTCAAAGTTTCCACCAACGTTTTACCAGGTACATGTTACACTAACAAAAACATTACTGCTGTCAAATTGTCTCAGTCTTTTGTTTTGAAATTTCCTATAATGTTAATGTGATTGCATCTTAGTAATACTGTTTTTCTTTGTGTAATTTCAGCCTAAGCCTGGCGAGAAGCCTATTCCAGGTATGACCTTAATATAGTTGTGTTAAACTTAGATCCTAAAGTTACAGAATAAATGGAGTCTGTCATAAATGTCAATGAATAGTTACGTTTTTGGTCTCTAAAATGTCAGAAAATGGTGAAAAATGTTAATCAGTGTTTCTCAAAGCCCAGTGATGATGTCCTCAATTTTTTTTTTGACCACAACCCAAGGATGTTTAATGTACTGTCATAAAGGAGAAAAGAAACCAGAAAATAATCACATTTAAAATGCTAAAATCAGTGTATTTTGACTTTTTTTTTTAAAAAATAATTCTTTTTTTTTTTTAATCAAATCGGTCAAATCTGATATAAACAACCGTACTGTTATTGGTACTGTTACTGTCATTGGAACATATCTACAGGCACCTGGTAGCTACATATTCTTATAACCATTATAGTAATTTAGCGTCCACAGTGGTACAACTAAACACCACATTGTTACAGTTCAACAGACATATTACAAACTAAAAAAGCCTGCCCAAGACTTCTCAAAGCTTTCATCCTCATTGCTGACCCTAACATGTGTTCGTATGACACAGTTTGAGGGAAACATAGATTCCCTCAATTTTTCAAAATCTGGAGGCGATGTATTCTTTCAGAAGCAGCTGTGACAACTCCTACATTTATCATAACAAGGTCATGTTTTGATACATGCGACAGTTTTGTTTCTCCCCCCCTAAGGCATCACGTTGGTGATTTAGGAACCAACCACTTCCCTATGTGAGCCACAACTTTTTCCCAAAATGGGTTAACCAGTTTACATTCCCAGATTACATGTAGAAATGTTTGTATTTCCATCTGACATTTCCAACATACCCATCCTGTACAAGTTAGAAGGAGTAAAGTAAAAGCTATGAATTCATTTATACTGAGTAAATTTCCCCCTTGCCTCCTTTATATATTTCCCAGTATTTGATAGTTTTGTTGACCGTTCCTCACTGCTTAATTGACTTTTTTTTTTTTTTTAAAAAAATTGCTCAAACCAATTAATCAATCAAAAGATTAGTTGGTGATTAATTTAATAGTTGACAACTAATAGATTCATCATTGCAGCTCTAGTTGTAAATGAGGTTATGTTCTTTCATTCAGATTTTGCCTGTCTATGGTTATGCATTTTCATTGTGTGTGCACTTGTGGTATTCCTACACTAACCTTTGGTCTATGCGTGACTTGTAGCGCTAATATAACATTGATTTTACATTGAGAAATTTAAGATAGATAGATATAGATGCATGTAAAAGTAGATAGGATAAGATAGGGTAATCCTTTGTTTGTCCTACACCAAGGAAATGTGCAACATTACAGCAGCAGAGGGACAGAGTGCCAACAGGAAGCATCAGTAGAAAATAATACAAAGCAATACATAAGTACGTAAAATAAGTAAACTGTACAAGAACAAAGAGCAGTATAATAAGAGAACAATACAAAAAACACAAAGCAATATAATGAGGAAGCATCAGAGAGACAGACAGACGGTGTTCAGATATTTGATGCTCAATATTAACCAAATCCACGGCTCTTCCTTTAACTGCATGCTCTTGTGTTACAGTTGAGGTGAAGAAAGAGCCTGAACCTCCTGCAGAGGCTGTCAAACAGGAGGAAAGGGAACCAGCCACAAAGTCCTCCGCCCCGGCTCCACCAAGCAAACCGCCTCCTGAGAAGAGAGCAAGGTTACAGTGATAGTCGTCCTCCACGTGGCAAGGAAACGTAACGTCCTACAGCACCGACTGAAAGAACAGCTTTGGAGTATTTTTATTCCTTCTCCAAATTTGCAACATCGTCCACCACTCTGCTCATTTTATCAGTTTACAGGAAGCTAAGAAACTGGCACACAAAGTGTCAGTGGTTTGTCTCAGTGCCAGGGCTCCTTTTACACTGTAACCTTAGTCTTGCACATGTAATGGGTTTGGCATCATGGACACTTCAGGCAGCTGTGGGACCAGCAGGGGTTAACGGCCTGATGTCAGCAGGCATTTAGCAGTATTCTCACTAAGGATGAGGTCTTTTTTCTCGATGATAAGCTGACATCAGCATCAGTGTCGGTTTACTGTTGACATCAGCATAATATTTGTGTTGTAGTGACTTCACAGGACAGTTTAATTCCTGGTCTGCCTGACAGGGTGATGTGTCGTAATGCATCATCTCATCTGAAGAGTAAAAAGCTTTTTGACACGAGCACCTCTCTTTGATTACAAACACTTTGATCTGTTTTTTTGTAAGGAATACTTTTGTGTTTTGTATTAAAATGTATCAGAGACTGTTTCCTGATGTGTCGGATTGTTCTCGTCTAGTAACAGTGTTGAGTCTTGCTTGATCACAGTTTTTCCTCATGATTTAAACTAAATATCATCTAAGATATATTGGATATGTAGCTGAGTCATTATCAGTGTCTCATAACTCAAGACATTTCTATCAACATTACTCAGTACAGCTGCTCTGCTGCCATGTCTTCCTGCCCTCAGCGCCCTGTAGTGCCTTACCACACACATCAGACATGATGGTCAGCACTGTTGGAAATTAACTTAGTACAGTTACTCAAGTTCTGTATTTAAATACAATCTAGAGTCACAGATGTGCAGTGAATGCAGTGGTTACTTACCTTGTTGGCTTGTGACCTTTCCAAAAACACTGTAGTTAGGGCCCTTGTCACATCTCAGATGTCTACATGATATTAGCATTTTCACCAAATAGACTTTTCCCTTTTCCCTGTGCAACAGTTGCAATACATAGCTAGAAGAGTGCAGATACAAAGAGTGGAATATACAAAATATATGCAGTATATAAAAACTAGATAACAATAAGGTGCAAAATATAAAAATTAGACAACAGTAAGATGCAAAATATAACATTAAGGTGCAAAATATTTAAAAAAAAGTTAACGAGGTGCAAAATATAAAAAGATAACAGTAAGATGCAAAATATTTAAACACTAAACAGTAACGTACAAAATATTTTAAAAGAAAATAGTTATGGTGCAAAATGTAAAAGTTAGATGACAGTAAGGTGCAAAATACAAAAGTAAGGTGCTAAATATAAAGACTAGATAACAGTAAGATGCAAAATATATAGTTTTAAATAAAACTATAAATACTATAAATAAAAAATAAAACTTTTAAATAAAAACATAATATGAAAACTAAAGAGGTAAAATGATCCAATATTACACAAAAACAAGATGAGAGAAAGGTTTGAAAAATAAGAAAATGAAAACAAATGTCTGCTGCAGAACTTTTGTCTACTGTCATCTCCTCTCACATCAGAACCTGCATCTGCAACTGTACAATGTCACGTACACACTGAAGAATACTTTTACTTTATATACTTCTGTATTGTCCTCTGGATGCAGGACTTTTACCTGTAATTAAGTATTTTCACACTGCTGTAATGGTGCTTAAGAATCAGAGTGCTTCTGCTATAATCGAACAGAAAATGAGTTTGAAATGAGACCACTGTGTGTGTGTGTGTGTGTGTGTGTGTGTGTGTGTGTGTGTGTGTGTGTGTGTGTGTGACCAGCAGGTGGCGCCATTTGGTCACGTTTGATCCCTGCTCCTAATTGGCTAATGGTACGTTTTATTTCATGCATTTGTGTCCTCAGCCATCAGCAGTGTGTTGAGTCATGTCTCAGTCAAACATGCACAGTCACACGTAAAATATGAGTTCACATCATAGAGAGGAAGCGGGCAACAAAAATGGTGGAGACAAAGCAACCAGTGGTGTTTTATTTATATATATATTTAGTGTACTGGTGTAAACAGTAGCTGTTGTTCTACTTCATTCGGATGCCACGAAGAAGAAGTTTCGCGCAGGGCGTGGTGGGATAGGAGTCTCCTCGGTGGAGGACTGCGAACAGTGCCCCAGCTGGCTGGCTAGCAGCAGAGAAGATGGCTGCAGAGGGGATTCTCAGGCCAGTGTCTGAAAACAGAGCACTGTTTGTCATGTTCAGCGACGACTAGCCAGCGTGTCACCCCGGTTGTTCCGTCGCTCGGTTCCGCTCGGATTCGTCGGAGGGGACAAAACAACATGGGGTCGCAGACTCTCCAGATCCTGAGGCAGGGGGTCTGGGCTTCAGTCACAGGCGGATGGTACTACGACCCCGATCAGAATACATTCGTCAACGCTTTACACCTCTACATCTGGCTGTTCCTGCTATGTTTCCCCTTCACGCTCTACATGGTGAGCCTCGTTGTCTTTTTCACTCCTTTATTACCCTTTTATTTGTGTTTTTATCTCAACTGTTGACACCGTAAGTTCCCAAAAACCCAAGTGTCCGTTAGGTTAGCTGCCACAGGATACTAACGGTCGGTCTCGGTCTATTATCTGGAGCGGAGACAATGTAACGTCCCATTAAACTAACGAAACGTAACGAGATATTTTCACCACACTCAAAATATTTTACAAAACCAAAAGGTTGTCGCGATAACACACAGATGAAGCACATTTAGACAGCAAAAATGGCAAAATAATCTTTAAATGGCTGCCCTGTGGAGTGCACTATCCACCACATAGATTGGACCGGACTGCTCTTTTGTTTAAATTCAGTGTTTATCACAGTGATGCAGTTTAAGATCCGTCAGGATATTACCAGTCGATTACACCGTGCCAGGCTATAATCAGTGAATTTAATTCCCCCACCCCCCTCTTTATCTAGTTGTTTTCCTCCTGTCGGTAGTGATTTGCGGTATCACCAGTTTTCAGGAGCTACCAGCTGTGACTGCAAGAGCACAGCTGACAAGGATGTAATCTGGCAACTGTAATGTCCAAGGAACACACTCAGTGGACTGGCTGCTGTTGGCTCACTTCACTTATCACAAGGTGTCTTTGTGTTAGTCTGAACTGTCTCAGGACCTGACACCTCAACTTAAAGTCCACTTGTGAATATATTTGTGTGTCAGACACAAGCTGCAGAGCAAGTTACAAATGTGTGTGAATGATTGTGTTGCTGCACACACATCTCTATATCTCTACATGTGTAATCAGGTCATGAAATGGCTGTTTGCTATGCATACTAGTAACTTCTATATCTAGAAGCTGATGTTTCAAACCGGTTTGTGGTTTCTGTTCTATTCCTGGAGTGGAAATACGCTGGTCAGCTCTGTGGTTTATATTGAGCCACAGGTTTGAGCGCTGCTGCTGTTCCTAATAACTGCAAACAGATGCAGCAGCAGGGGCGGGGGGGGGGGGGGGGGGGGGGTCTCAAGGACAACAGAGACAACGCAGGAGATGGAGCTCAGACACCTTGTGGTAAACAAACAGGTGACAGCCTCCCTCCCTCAGCAGCGTCACTATTAAAAGAGGCATTAAAACTGTAATTGAATGCTGTAGTTTTTTGAAAGGCTGCCAGTGTGTGTCGTAAATGATGGGGGCGACGGGTGAGATAATGTATTTAATACTTCTAGCAGCTGTGTTTAGAGGAGATAAGTTGGATGCAGGAGCAGTGGCGTCACTAGAAATGTTTCACAGGGGTGACAGGGTGAGCCAAAAAGCCATAACTGAATACACTTATACTGTTTCAGTGTATAGGCTTGTTGAAAACTGTGTCAATATGGAGCATTAAGGATTCACACACTGATATACTTTGTTTTTTATTTAACAGTTAATCAGCTCAACTTTAAATATGTCACCTTTCACACAAACATGCAGCCCAAAGTGCTTCACATGGCAAAATAGCAATGACAAAGACACATAACAACAAAATATTAACCAACCAAAACAGAACAAACTAACAAAAAAGATGATTAAAATTCCATAGAATAAAAAGAGAGTAAATTAATGAATACTTTATAAGAAAAATAAACAGAAGACATAAAAAAAACACAGTAAAAAAAATTTTTTAAAACCTAAAAATCAAGACTGTAATGTTACCCAACATTTAAAACCAGATTAAAAAGATACGTCTTTAATATATGTTTTAAAATACAGAGAGAGCTTTAGCCATGCTAATATCCAGAGGTAGCGAATCCCATAGTTTAGGAGCGTAAAGAAAGAAAGCACTCTCACCTGTACTTTTGTGGGACACATGAGGGATGTTTAAAAGTAAAGCAGTGGACGACCTCAGTGATCTCTTAATAATGTCACTAATTGTCTGATGTGCATAGACTAATACTTGTACAGTAACATTTTGAGTTCCACAACAATCCTTTTTAATAGGTTATGTATCTGTACATGTGTCAGGGGATTTATTTTTCCACCAGATTGGCTTGTTTTCCCTTTTTTCTATAAAGGACAAGCTTTAATTTTTAGGAATGCTTTCCTCCCCAACAAGCTATGCCACATGATTGGTACCAATGGATGCCTTGGGTTGTCTAGTTTCACAAGATACCACTACCTGCCATCTATCAATCCATTTTCATCTGCTTATCCGGGGCTGGGTCACGGGGGCAGCAGGCCAAGCAAATCACCCCAGACGTCCCTCTCCCCAGCAACACTTTCCAGCTCCTCCTGGGCGACCTCAAGGTGTTCCCAGGTCAGATGAGATATATAATCCCTCCAGTGTGTTCTGGATCTGCCCCTCTAACGGGAGGCGCCCAGGAGGATCCTGATCAGATGCCCAAACCACCTCAACTGACCTCTTTCGACTTGAAGGAGCAGCGGCTCTACTCCGAGCTCCCTCCGGATGTCCGAGCTCCTTTCCCTATCTCTAAGGCTGAGCCCAGACACCCTGTGGAGGAAACTCATTTCAGCTGCTTGTACCTTCAATCTCATCACTACCTTTGCGCTAGCTTTAAAAATGACCACGTAAACAGCCTCTTAAAGGGATAGTGCACCCAAAAATGAAAATTCAGCCATTATCTACTCACCCATATGCCGATGGAGGCCCTGGTGAAGTTTTAGAGTCCTCACATCCCTTGCGGAGATCGGCAGGTGGAGCGGCTAGCACACCTAATGGTAGACGGCGCCTCAGACTAACGTCCAAGAACACAAAATTGAATCCACAGAGTACCTCCATACTGCTCATCCGTAGTGATCCAAGTGTGCTGCAGCCGTGACATAAAAAGTTGTTTTGAAAAACTTCATATGAACTCTGTTTTTAGCCTCACTGTATCCTGTAGCTCTGACTGCTTCTCTGTGCTCCGCGCTCACGTGTGCACGCCTGTGCGAGACCAACGAAAGCATGAGCTTTGCTCACCCATGTTTACATCACGTGACACGTGCACCGCAGGGAGTAACCACAGAGCTAAAAGATAATTTGCACTACGGTCTTTTAGCAAAGGACAGCCCAACATGTCTGAAGACTTTGAAACTGAGGAGGAACAGCATTTCTTTGTTGAGCCGTATTTGTTTGAGCCCGAGTATATGCACAGAACTCAGGCTACTGGACGAAGCAGCCGCCGCAGCTCATGAGCCTCAGCCAGCCGCAGAATACCGGAGTCGAGCACTGGAAACCTGGTGGTGTAGTTGTTTCAAATGCAAAGCATTCCTCGGATGAGGAAAGTCTTTGCTGCTCGGACTGGGAATTGGCGATGCCTGCACTTGGGAATCTGGACATCAGTACTGACGAGACTGCTGCTCTTCAGAGACCACTGATCACCCTGAGCACGTGCACACGTGAGCGCGGAGCACAGAGAAGCAGTCAGAGCTACAGGCTACAGTGAGGCTAAAAACAGAGTTCATATGACGTTTTTCGAAACAACTTTTTATGTCGCGGCTGCAGCACACTTGGATCACTATAGATGAGCAGTATGGAGGTACTCTGTGGATTCAATTTTGTGTTCATGGATGTTAGTCTGGGGCACCGTCTACCATTAGGTGTGCTAGCCGCTCCACCCGCCGATCTCCGCAAGGGATGTGAGGACTCTAAAACTTCACCAGGGCCTCCGTTGGCATATGGGTGAGTAGATAATGGCTGAATTTTCATTTTTGGGTGCACTATCCCTTTAAAGACAGTGATATCGACCTCTAATTATTTTCTTCTGGGTTGGCCAGTGAGGAGGGGCAGCAGTTGTACTGGGGGGTCATGGACACCCCTGCGAGCCCCTCTTTGGGGCGCCACCGTGCAGGACTAGGTTGCAGTTGGGTGCAGTACTTGGTTGCAGCTCCTCATGACCAAATGTCCTTAAGCAAGACATTTTTAAACTGTCCTCCTGCTGTCTTGTTTCGTTTTATTTTATTTCGCTTTATTTACACACATGAAACATTTTTAAAAGATACAGTAAATCAGTGGTTCCCAACTGGTGGGTCATGGTCCAAAAGTGGGTCACGGGTCCATTCTAAATGGACCACAAGTGACTCGTGAACGTGTCAGGTTTGTAAAAAACACACTTCATTTTGAAGTACAGTGAATTTCTGGGTCAAGCTTTTATTTTGAAGTGCTGTTTCCTGCTGTAGAGTGAGTGAATGACTGCTGTTTGACAGAGACAGTAAACTAGCTTGACAACATGGCCAAACGCAAATATGATTTTGAATATATTAAACCTTGTGGACCTTGAACAGCGTCATTCTGCAGGCAGCATTTTACAGGAAAGAATTACAGCTATGTAATGTACAATATTTGTATTTATCCGTCAATAATTTTAGACATTTATTGTCATTTTAGAGGCAAAATGTTCATGATATCAGTTAGAGGTTTTGAAAAATGCATTTCTCCTTCTTTTTGAGCGTATCTTGAGTTTCATTGTCAAGAAGAGCAAAATAATCTTGAACAACAATAATATGTCCTTACAATATCAGTCCTTGGCCCCTGAGATAAATAAAATGAAATATACAGTCAGCATCATCCTGATCCCTCTACAGTGTCAGATTCCCTCTATAAACTAACTTCTGCTTCTCTCCATCTCATCCCAGGCCCTGCAACCAACCATGGTGATCGTGGGAATCTACTGTGGTGTTATTGCTGCCATGTTCCTGCTGCTGAAGACGGTGAACTACCGCCTCCATCATGCCCTGGATGAAGGGGAGGTGGTGGAGCACCAGGCCAAGGAGAGTCAGGGCAGCAGAGGTGGCACTGAGGGGGCTAACGATGGCGGCGTCACCCGTCGGGAGGACAGCAACGGCCCGGGGTAAGTTCACGTCTTCCGCAGCCCAATGATGGACATTGATATCTGGAGATGTAGGACAAAGACGCTCCAGGAGTGTGACTAAGCTGCTCAGACGATGAGGCAGACACAGTAAGGCAGTGTAGGAGTGTTGTGTGTCATGCTTCCTGATCAGTGATGGTGAAGAGTCACAATGGAGCGTGGCTATGGAGTCATTTAAAGGTGATGTCATCTGGAGTTGTCTTATCAGGGCTGAGGTCAAAGGTCGAGTCCTTTGCCACCCAGCTGCTACAAGAAGGATCAATATATCACTTTAAAGGCTTCCTGATAGAACGAGTCAAGCCAAGCTGCAACAAATCAATTTATAGACGTGCCTGCAGAGAGAGGTAGTAAACACAACAGATGTTTTAGGCTGAGTCTAAATTATTGAATGATTGATGAATATTGATGACTCTGGTGATTTCACAATGAATAAACACAGGTGTGGTTAAATATAGGTGACCACAGCTGGTTGTGCTGGTTGCTTGCCCAAAATCTCTGTGTGGCAATTTTAAAAAGTCCAATTGCAGTGATGTCCTAGTCGTTCTTTTTATTATCTAATTAAAGATCCAGAACCAAGTCATGAAGGTCTAATTGTAGGTTGAGCATATTGTGTCTTATTTCTTAGCACACTCTCAAGAGGCGCGTCTTGCCTGAATTGTCCGTAGGGCATTATAAAAAGTCAGATTGGAGTGAAAGCCTTGTATTTCCTTTAAGTTAAATTACTTTCAGGGTGCTTTCAGAACTAGAGTTGTCTTGCTTTCGTCTGAATCAGGGACTGATTTTGTTCCAAAGTTGTATAATTGCCTGGAGTTGGTTCGTGTTCTCACGGCAGCATTTACAATCGGACCAGATCAAATGCTTTGCTTGAGAAAGCCGCTCTTGATTGGTCAGAATTTCCATGTGGGAAAAATCCAGGAAGTAAAGCAAACGTTGAAGAAGAATACACTTGCATGATAAATGTGACACTTTCTAATGTCACAATGGAGGGACAACTACGCAGGTTGATTTTAGCGCTGCTCATCGTGGACTATATTGCTGTCATTGTTCATTTTAGTCAAACCATACAGTTTGAAAACGAGACGCGGCTCCAACTAGAAAACAATGTTTTGATGCATTGGATGTGCTGAATGTGCATATTAAGGCAGTACAGGAGGAGGTGCACATTAATAATCCTCCAGGACTGTAACATGCTCATGTTTAACCCAAACAATGTGTCATGTGACTGCAGTTGGTTCACATCCAGGTCGGAACACCTTCTCACCACAAACCGCACCAGAGTTTGTTTGTAACCTGACTGAGACCACCTCTTCAAGAAGGTCTCGGTCTGGTTGTTTTGGTGCGCACCTGAGTGTCATTGCTGTGTTCACACCTGCCCAAACGAACCGCACTGAGGGGGCAAATGATCTTGAGTTCGATTGAACGGAACCAAACAGGGCAGGTGTGAAAGCACCCTTAGAGAGGTTGAGTGCAGCAGAAATGAGTCCTGAAACCTGGAATTGATTTAGCATTGTAGCACTCTGGGTTCCCTCATCTCAAAATCAGTGGGTTTTCACAAGCTGGTGGGTTAACACAAACTTAAAAGATTTTGACGATTTGTTCTCCAACATAATATGCATGAGTAAAAACACCACTTGTGAATTCTGAAGCTTTTATGTGTCTTAAAGAAGGCGGTTGCTTCCAGACTCAATAAATGAGACGAGAGCGTCATCCTGCAGAACACTGCTTTACAGCCTCGTTGTGGTGGCGATGGTTAAGTCATGTGACCGTGGTGTAGTTCATTTATAGCCTAACGTTAGCTTGTTACTTCTGGTGATTGCATTTACACTTCTAAAGTCATAATAGTGGTGTTCATTTGTGAAGATTATCTTGCTGAACAAAATGTTGAAGTATCATAAATGTTTGCCTCAGAGCTTATTTTCTGCAGTCATCCAAAATCCAGTGGAAAAGTCCCATCAGCTTTTTGTCGAGGGAACCAGGGCGATGTTTATTTCTTGGTTGGCCTACAAATAAACGTCATCCCTGCAGCACTCTGTAAATCTGTCCACACTGTGGCTTTTGCGAAGATGTGTGTTGTCGAGCTTTGTTTTAAAATGCATCACAAAATTATTGCTGAGAGCCTATCTAAACTACATTAATCATATTTAAAGATGCCCTGCTGAGTTTTCTTGGAAACAGCGTTTCTGTTTACTTTCACTGTTACTCACCAAACACATTGTTTGTATTCTTGAAGCCTAACAAACATGTGCAATTCATTTCCTCCTGATAAAACCGTTTCAGAGCCGATTTTTTGTTATGAAACCTGCATTGTTGACATTCATGTCTGCTAGCTAGCAGTGATTTCTGCTGGAGCACTGCTGTGTTTCTCGGTGCATCACAGACACTTGTAGCTCAGTGATATACTGTAGTGTGAAACAGTTGGCAGAAACGTGCATCAAGTCACCCACATTTATGTCTGGGCCCACTCACAGAGACATCCCTCCAGGGATCTGCTCGTGGTCACAAACTCCACAGGGTACTAATAAGTAAATTTCTTTTTCAGTTGTAAGTGTGAACCTTTCCGAATATACAGCTAGTTTTTCAATTATGCCAACTTTTTTATGTTCTGCTCTGCTGCCATGGTGCTATACCTTATGTCCCAGTGTGTGTGTGTGTGTGTGTGTGCAGACACATGAATATCAACTCTTATAATTACATGATAGGACTTGTTATAGGTACTTCTTATGCCACAGGTTCCTTTGCAGAGTTGATGATCTAACAATTAATGCGATAAGGTGCTCCAAAATTTAAATATCTAGATAGGGGAAAAACTTAAACACATGTTTTTCCTCTTACCTGTAGTGCTATTTATCAGTCTAGATAGTTTTGGTGTGAGTTGCCAAGTGTTGGAGATATCAGCTGTGGAGATGTCTGCCTTCTCTCCAATATTGAGGAGCTAGATGGCTTGTGGTGCTCAAAGCGCCCAAAAAATACAACAGCAATGTCTCTTTCCAGAAATCATGACCCTGTTACTCAAGATAATCCACAGACCTTGTTGCGAGCAGCTTCATGTAGGAACTATTTTCTTTCTACCGAACTACACCCATCAGCCATATCACCACACAGAAGGACGAGTGCATCTACTCATGGACAAGAAGCTCATGCTCATGACAGTGTGAAATGTAAACATTAACAGCGTCCTCCTTGGCTGAGCTGTAACGTTAGCTAGCTCAGTGATGCTAGGTGAGCTAGCAGTAGATGCACTCTTCCTTCTGCGTGGTGATGCAGTTGGCAGGTGTAGTTTGGTAGGAAGAAAATAGTTCCTACATGAAACTGCTCACAACAAGGTCTGTGGATTATCTTGAGTAACCGGGTCATGATTTCTGGAAAGAGACATTGATGTTGAGTTTTTCAAATGTATTTTTTCGGCACTGTGAGCACCACAAGCTGAGTGCCATCTAGTTCCATTATATTAGGAGGAGGCAGATGTGTCCAACACTGTGCAACTCACACCAAAACAATCCAGATTGATAAAAAGCACCACAGGAAGTAAGATGAAAACTGTCCCTTTTAAAGCTATGTATGGTGACAGTGAAATATATTCTAATTAATACTTCAATTAAGGTAATTAATGAGCTCATTAGTGTGAGCGTTATGTTTAGCATGGTTGAACAATAACATAAACAACTCATTATGAATTGCACAAGTTGAGAAAGTAATTTACATCCACTGTGTCATCAGTCACTATGAAATAACGGTTACTGTCACATGTTAAAAAGTACAGATTCTATGCTACCTCCCTCTGAATGCCAGGCGTCATCCTTTTTTTTTCCTAATGAAGAGTTTTAGCTCTCATTCAGAAGAAACAAAAGCCAGTGAGCTTCCAGCATTTTACTGCCCATGACTCGAAGACGTGACTCATATTCACATTCCAGAGGGAGTGCTTAGCAGGACGCTGAGAGAGGGGAAAGGCAATGGGAAGAAGAAGAAGGAGAGCTCTCGACCACAGGGGCAGTCGCAGTCGCAGCTTTGCCCACACATCTGGCGTTACATTCCAGGTTGTGTGAGTTTACAGTAGAGCCGACGAGTCGAGCTGTAGTTGATTAAGGTGTTTTTGCACCGCCGCCCACTCATTTTCCCCTCACTGCTCCTTTTTCCAGTCTCCGCTCATGCGCTCCGCACGTTGTAGTTCATTACTCGGAGTGTTTGTGTTGTGGTTTGACCCGTTATGAAACATTTTTGGCATATGGAAATGATTTATAGACGGTCCTGGCAAGTTGTTTGTTTCGACATACCAGCTGGTTAAAACAAGCACGTCCGGGCTAAATATAGGCCTGGAGAAAAGCTACATGGATGCTTTCAACTGTTTTTGTGCCCTCAGTTGATTTTTAAAACTCACATAAAGGGCCTGTTCAATAAATCTACATGATTTGTTTTGCCCTAAATTGAGTCAGGTGTCCAGATTAAAGGGAGGGATGTACAGTAAATAGAACAGAGCCAACTGTACATATGAATCAAACAAGATGAATGTCACTTTTCATCTGTACCATCTGTTTAAATTTAAGAGAGGAAGTCCACTGTGCCTGTTCTGGTAATACAAGCGTATGCATGTGTGTGTGTGTGTGTTTCTGCACAGGGATCCTGGAGGGGGTATTGAGATGGCAGACTTCATCAGGCAAGAGACTCCACCAGTGGACTGCAGCTCCAGGAACTCCTATATTGGATTGGAGTCTAACCAGCAGGTAAGCAGAGCACTGGCCTGCTGCACACTGCGTACAGCACTGGGCTGAGTATAAGATAATAAGACGATGATGAGTATGAGGCCCAACCCCCGCCTGATGACATTTATTTCTTGTCCTCAAATTCAAGATAACCCATTTATTTTCAAATGTAATTTACTGGGAAGAAACACAATCTAATATTCAGGCCAACCCTGAATTTACTGTCAGGAACTGTTTGGTTTCAGTTTACTGTCACGCTGTACATCTTTTCTGAACTATAAGTGAGGTCGTGTACTGTAACAGCTCACACCAGTTCAGTGTTTGAAATTACTCCCTGTTTAATATAGTGTAGAAATGATTGACAGTTAATGTAAATTATTAATTCATAGTTAAAGTCATAACCAAGACAGTGGTGTCACAAAATCCAAGTTCAAAGATTTTTTTAAATCGTCACTGTAAAATGACCAGCAGATCAATCCATTTTTCAAATTACAATAGAATTACTACCATATAGTGCATTTTATTTACAGTTATTGTTTGTGTCCACATTAGGGATGGGCATGAGAACTCAAGTACTCAGTTTGGACGTCCGTATTCGTTCAACAGATAGAGTAATCAATTTTTTTGATGCTTTTTGTTGTTGTGTTAAAGGTCAGGTTGCAAAACTATCTGGTCACATGTGCAGGCCTTCAGTCAGTCAGAGACACAACTGCAAACTTTAGATTTTAAAATACAGCAGGAGTGCAATATTGTAGGTCATAGTTCAGATTCTCGAGCGGGTCAAGAAAATCAGACCCATGCAGGACCTTGATGGGGATTGACTCTCTTTTTGAGCCAGCCTCAAGTGGCCATTCGAGGAACTGCAGTTTTTGGCATTTCTGTGTTGGCTTCATTTTTCAGGCCAGAGATTGTCTTATAATGGTCATGTGCTTCAGGCTCACTACTGCAAGTGGCATTATTTTTTCTCCCAAGCACTCTCAGCCCATAGTCCTGCCCTACTGTGCTGTCATTGGCTAGTAGTAACTGTAACCATGACCTCTGTGCATTAACCACCTCCGACCTTTAATTTAATTTAATTTAATTTAATTTGATTTGATTTTTTTTTTTTCGTGAGTATTCGATAATAACTTAATGTGATTACTCGAATATGGAAATTGCTTAAAAGGCCAATCCCTAGTCCACGTTCTGAGTGTGTCCTAAAGTGCCCTAAAAAACTCAGTGCCCTAAAAATGTAATACCTATGTTATGTACACTGCTCTCTGCTAAAAATCCTGTGACACAATGCTATGACTTGTCTCTTAACTCGTGGTGCAAAAATTAAAGTTGTGCTCCACTACAACACCCTGTTATATGGGGAGTGATGAGTGTGAACGAGGGAGTGATTGCCAACACAGCCTAACTGTCTTTTGAAATACTGCATACAGCCTCAATTAATTTGAGAAAACATAAGATATACTTAATGATTAAAACATTCAGGTTTTGTGTATTGGTTAATAAAAACAGAGTCCTAAAAGTACTGATTTAGTTTCAGAGATTGTATGCATTATTGTGCGAATGAATGTGTGTTTGCTTTTCAAGAATATTGTGTCCATGTATCAAACTGAACTTCATCTGATTCATCCAAAACCAGTTTATTTCACAACATAGTTTTGTAAACCACTGCTTGTGTTACAAGTGTTAAATGATCAGTGAACGTTTGCTACACAGTACAGGGAATAATCTTTAATATTCCCACAAACAAACGCCATCAGCTTTTAAACGTCCTCTCATTTTAATGCAACATGTACAGTGCTTACTGTAACCCAACTAAGGTTCCCACAGACGGCTAAGACAAACCTAAGGCACAGAAGTCCAGGTCTGCAGCTGACGTTTGTTATTGCAGGACCAAAGGAAGGACTTGTTTGTGTGTGTTTCATTAGGTATGATCCTCACATAGCTCGCTGTCAGCTGATATCTCGTTAAATATTCAAAGTTATTTCACTGTTTTATTCTGGAGATATATTTAACCTCTGAATCCCCACGGGTGCCGCACTCCACGTCTTTGTACTGTGTGTCCTTGAGTCGCTAATCAGCCGGCATGTTCCTCTCAGCTGCTGTGTAGGGAGTTGGAAGGGGAGCCAAAACTTTTCTCTGTGATGACAGTGAAGAGGTGCCGGCTGTTTGTAACACACAAACAGGGTCTTCTTTTGGATGTTGAAATCTCTAATGATCACACACCTTGTCACTTTGCCTTTAATGAACATTTTACTCCAGAAACTTGCTTTGTGATATCTTGATCATCTTTTTCAAAAGGCAAATGGCTTAACATGTCTTTTTGTTCAAATTTCAGATTGCATCCACACATGGAAGAGCAACAGTAGCCAAAGGTAACTACGACTACCTTGTCATGTATACTGAAAGCATGTGCCAAGTTATTAAAGTGATACAGAGATGCTGTATGAGGCAATGTAGTGCACAGCATGTGCCACCAGAGGTCAGTCTCTACTGGTGGAACAGGCAGCAGGCAACTATGAGTGGTGGGGATAAGGTTACAGGACAAGGGAAAAGAAAGCTGTCAGCAACCGCAGAGAGTTTATTTTGACCAAACCAGAAATGGTGATTGTTGGGAGAGTGGAAAGACTAAACAAGGCAGTTTTGGTGTTATGAGGTGTGTTTTGGATGACTTAACAAGGTAATTAAATTAGTTTTAGTTTGGTGAAAGAGAGAAATTTTAATTCAGAAGGTGTACGGTTGCATTTTTCTGTTTAGTAAGGAAAATAGGTGAAAGAATATTTCCTTTTCAGCATTTTGTAAGCTTATTTTGTGTATTTATTAGGGTGAAAAAGCTACGGAAACTTGTGGAACTTAGCAAACACCAAGCTCAAACTCATCTTAAGCCCAGTTCAGACCAAAGATTCACGACGGGACGAAACCGTCTTAAAACGTTGCAGAGAAAAGTTGCAGTGGTGTGAAGTGGCCAGTCTGAGCTCGACTCCAGCTGGCTGTCGGTGTAACCTGCAACTCCGCTGGTCACTTCGCCAGTGGTTGGTTTTCGAGCATAAGGCCAGTCACCTGTTTCTAATCTAAACAACCTGTTTCCAATCAGCTTGTAGTGAAGTCCGCTGATCAATTCAAAATGACCGCAGATGGCGTGTTTGCTCGCTGCAGCAGGTTCTCCGTCCCTGTCCTCATATGTGCTGGTGTCAGATGGTGGGTCACTGCTGCTGCTCGCTCTATGTGCTGTATGCCCCCAACACACACACACACACACATTCTCACTGACACACTTAGTTATATTGTGGCGTATTTATTATAAATACAGTCCATCTGATGGTCGCTTTGTTTCTGTTTTCACCTTTCATCACTACTACAAATGCAGCTGTAGCCAGTATCTCATCATATCATTATCCTCATTCATATTCTAAGAAGTTACAAATTATATTCAGCCACAAAATAATCCTGAAAAGCTGCAAACAGAACAAAAACATGGAGAGTTGTTGCATAGAGATGATACACCGTCTCATCTAGTTGCACTGGTGTGAACCGGCAGGTTTTTAGATCACTGCAGAACAGCATATTGCAAGTAGTTGTCTGTTTCAACTTGTCTCATCACAAATCTTTGGTCTGAACTGGGCTTTAGGGTGGGGTTGGGGGGATGGGGGTGCAACACCTTCGTGAATATATATCAGCAAGGGCCGGTTGTTAGGCTGGCTGTGGCTAGCTGGCAAAATGTAATGATTCGCACAACCCAAGACAGTGTCACACATGCTTTGTGACTTGTGTCACCAGCAGCTTGGCTTTTAAGTTTTCTTTTTTAACACAAATACCTCTGTATACCGTATACCCCAGTGAAATGTCAGGAAGGTATTAAAAAATAGATACTGCCTAAGCCCATGCCAAATCCCTGTCCTCTGTGCCAATGCAACATCTGACTTGTGACAAGCACTCCTCAGTTTGGTTTTTTACAGTCTTGTTTGTGAGCCTGTGGTGCATTTTCTTTCAGTGGGATCACCACATCTCTAACCATGATCACCCCAGCTGCTCAGGAGATGTAGTCTGACTCAGCATTACCGTGACCTCACCAGTCAAACCAAGATGAGGCAGCTTTAGACAGCCACTGCTGAGTTTGACAAAACAAAAAAATGTAATATACTCTAAGACCCAGCATGGGAGTCATTCTCCAGGAGCTCTTTATTGGAAAACTGAGAAGAAGACAATAAATGAACTTGTAGCTTTGCTCCGGGTCCATTGTACTGAGTGTTAGAGCGAGGCGGCTGCGTCGTCTGAATAATTCAGCGAGTCTGTTCGATGCCATTCTAATTAGCTGGCAGTTTGTGATGACAGGAAATGGTCGGAAGTGGGACAAGGGCTCTGCTGGGGTTTAGCTTTTTAATCTTCTTCCCTTCAAGGATTCCATCTACTCAGACTGTCCATCACAAACTCCCAGGAAGTATCAGCGAGTGAGACTTGCAGGATTTGAGAAACACTGATTGCAAAGAACAGTTATGTCTTTGTTCAAAGGTTATCTGGGGTTTCAAGGAATCTATTTAGAAGAGCTCTCAGAAGTAGTGATTCTGGGAAAGAGAAGGGTATCTGTTACTTTATCCTCTGTAGAAGCTAGCTATGTGTGGGTGTTCAGGGTTAGTGCGTGTGAATGTTTTAATAATTGATCAAGATGTCATCTTTTAATTGCTTTCTTCCTGTCTTCGCAGGAGATGTGGGAAAGACTTCAGATGACATCAGTCTGACTCTTGTTGAGAGCTGCAGCCATGACCATGGTACAGTAAATATGCATAGCATTCACATACAAACAAAAAGCCTCCTCGTGTTACTGGCTGTGACGTCTCAAAGCGGTCCTAATGTTTGTTTTCTTTCTGTCCATTTAGATCTGCTATCAGACACAAAGATGTACTGCCTTGTTCCCAATGACTCCTTCGCCTCCTTGCAGCCATCAACCTCCTTGTGTCCTTCAGAGCTGTCCAGGGAGCCTGCTGATCTCTGTAATTCTGCTGCTTATCACTTCAGCCTGTCGCACTCCTCTTGTGACACAGAGGTGACCACTCACGCATCCATGCAATCTCAGAGCTACAGGAAGGAGCTCCGTTCTCGGGGCCTGCCTCGGACCTCTAGCTCAGCAGGCTCTGCTTTCCCTGATCCATGTCTACCAGACTTTGCTCTGTACCCTCCACCCAGGAGAGGTGGCCTTGACCCTGTGTGTGAGCTGGAGGCCGCCAGACCACACAGGTCAGGGATATGTGGCAGAGAAGCGGCCGAGCGGCTGTACCAGCAGGACCAAGCTGTCCCCTCCACCTCGGGGATAGAGTGTTACAGGCACAAAGAATCACGCAGAGTAGCCCGCTCAGCCTCCAGGGAGGCGGGGGAAGGTAGCTCAGGGCTGTACCAGGTGGACGTGGGTGGCAGTGGGAAAGGCTCTGGTGGAGGAGGAAAGTCCCAGAGTGGGGAGCGCAGTGCTGATAGCCTGAGGAGCTTGAGTACTCGCAGTAGTGGCTCCACAGAGAGCTACTGCAGTGGCACAGACAGGGACACCAACAGCACTGTCAGCAGCTTTCACAGTGAACAGACCAGCTCGACACATGTGGAGAGCCTGTTCTCACTTTCAGGGGATGAGCGTGTACGGGACAGAGGAGATGCTGTATCTGCTCCTGCAGATGGCAGGACTTCTAGCCTCGGCAGTGTCAGCTCTCGAGGTCTCAGTAACCTTCCTTCCAGGGAGGCCAATAAAAACCCTCATGCCAATGAGCTGACTGCTAAACAACCTGCTGACACACCGTCCTCTGCACCCCAAGAGCTGGTAGAACCTGGCAGGTGCCAGGAAGAGCCTGGCATCAGGACCAATGCTGATGGCTCGACAGGTGTAGCTGCCACGGAGCAGGAGCAGGTGAAAGACGACAGTCAACCAAAGTCAGCCAACAATGTTCAGAGGACTTCCTCCCTGTCAACGGGGCGCAGTGGACGCCGGCGGACTGGCAAAAAAAGGGCAAGCAGCTTCGATGCCAGCCGTCACAGGGACTACATGTCTCTGCGTGGCATGGCCAAGCCTTGTAGTGCTGTGTTTACTGGGGGTGGAGAGGAGGACTCCAGTGATCACAGTGAACTCAGTTGTGCCTCCAGTCTCCACTCCACCCACCACCTAAGCACAGACAGCTCATCTAGCACCACTTCCCGCTCCTGCCACTCACCAGAGGGCTGCTACCGGGCCCTGAAAGCCAAGCACACTGCATCCAATGCAGCCGCCTCCTCCTCCTCCTCCTCCACGGTAAAAGCTGCGGCAGGATCCGAGGCAGGAGCACGACCCGAAGGGAAGCGGCGCACCTCCCGCCGTACCCCCAGCACAGGCAGCGCCAAAACACATGCCAGAGTGTTGAGTTTGGACAGTGGTACGGCAGCCTGCCTTAACGATCCCAGCCGCCTCTGAGCTCCAGCTGGGCCCCGGCCCCTCACCACCTCCAAGTCGGACCTGGAAGCCAAAGAAGGGGAAGTCCTGGATGCGGCATCCCTGCTGGGTCGGGCCTCCCAGCTGGAATCAGTGACCCGCTCCAGAAACAGTCTGCCCAATCAGGCAGCTTTCACTGAGCCTCAGGATGCCACTGCTGCTTCCCTGCGGGGTATGTACCACACACAGCGCTCTGACATACTGTACACATCGCATTCTATCTGGTTTACTACTAGTGTTTGATGACTCGTCCACACTGTGCAGTCTCTGAAGTGCATCATAAGAAATGTTTTGTCCAACCTTAACCATATTTTACAGAGCTGATTACTTCACTTGTTTTGATTTACACTCTCTTTTGTGACTTCTCAGCAGAACTGTATTACACTGATATGGTCCCAGACAGTACTATAGGCTCTATTGTTAGTCTGCTTTTGTTATTTTTGCGTGCTTTGCAGCTTTAGATTGTTTATGTGGAGACTGAGTGATGCTTGTGTATTGGACATTAACTGGAAACCATATATCATGCTCATTTTACGGGATAGCTGGCTCCTGGGCTGTTAGCAGGAGCATTAGGATAGAAGTGACAAAAGTGAGACTGTTTTGGGTGTAGTCCTCCAGACATTAGGCTTGCTTCATTATTGCCTTTTGTGTACGTGTGTTTGGGGCTGCATAAGAGATGCTGTCTGCCCTTGCTCATTCAGTGTAACCATGGTGAGTTTCCATGGAGTGACAATTCTGACCCGAGCATAGTGTGTCTTGTGTAGATCACTATTAGCATGATGGCACAGTGTGTGCTTTGTGCTGAGGTTAGGCAAACAGCAGCTCTCTTATTAGTGTCATACACATCAAGTCACACAGACAGCCCCTCCCCCACATGCTTCGCTTCTTGGTTCTTGTTTTTTGGCTCCACAATGTTGTCGTTGATTGTTTCCTAACTTTTTAGAGTGTGTTCACCTCCTGGGAGGCAGGATGTGTCTGAGCATGTCATCTGTTGGCTGGTTTCATAATTAGTGTGTGATTCCTGCTGTCCGGATTTGTGTTAACCTGACTCGAAGCTGTCATGGTCACAGTCAGCTCCATGTAGGGGCGTTCATTAGTAGAATGTAGCGTAGCTGATTGATTTATAGTATGTTTGACTGGACTTGAAGTTTAGTGGTTACTGGTGGGAATTTGCAGGGCTGAAAATATTTGTATGACACCTCTCACTTGGTATCATTATGCTAATTGCAGTGAGCCTAAGTTAGCTTTTCAGTGAATAAATAGCACACACTTTCTCATACAAATGAAGAGTTATATTAATAAGTAAACTCACCCCTGCTCATTTTAATATGCTTGAGGGTTCTTCCACTGTAGAGTGAGTTGTTGACATACACCCAGTCACTGTTATTGGCTAATGTTAGCTAGAGTGTGCTGAGTGACTTTGCTGCTTTAATAGTTTTCTGTCTGTGTGCTGCTGTTGTTGTCAAAAATTAACATTTAAATGGTTTCATCACAAGAATAAAACTAGAAGCCCTTTTCCCTTTGGTCCCATTCCACTAGTTCTCCTTCAGGTTGCCCTATGGTGATGTCATTAAAGGTATACTGAGCGTGATTTTCCTAAAATACAATGTATAGAGTCATTAAAAAAAGTAGTTCCTCTTAATCATTACTTACGACTCGGGGTGGGAATCACCAGAGGCCCCACGATATGATATTATCATGTTGCATAAGTTGCAATACATTGCAATTTTAATTGTGTTGCAACATGCTAAGTATAGCGTTAAAATATGTTTTGATATGATGTGATTTCTAACCTTTTTTCAAGTACAAATTATGTCCCCAAAAGAAACATTTGTCAGCACCTGTTTTATTTAATAAAATAAAGTTTTTAGTCTGTTCATTTTACTTCAGTCATTTTTATTGTGGTAAAATAATGAGCAGTTGGTTATATTATTCTAGCAGGCTACCACAAGTTTTATTGCCATTTGCAATGCTAATAATTTCTAGAATAAAAACATGGATACTTGGAGTCAGTGTAACACAAAAATACCACAGTAGAATGTTGTATTGATTTTTCCCCCCACTTCTACTTACAACCCATGACAACAGTGGTTCCCAACTGGTGGGTGGGTCGCGTGTCCATTCTGAGTGGACTGCAAGTGACTCGCAAAACGTGTCAAGTTTGTAAAAAAAAAAAAACAAAACACAGTTTATTTTGAAGTGCAATGAATTTCTGGCACCGAGCTTTTATTTTGAAGCGTCTTTTTTTGTTGTAGAGTGAGTGACTAACGGACCTCTACTTAACAGAGACAGCAAACTAGCTCGACAACATGGCCAAACGCAAGTATGACGCTGAATATATTAAACTGTGTGGACCTTGAACTAATGCCTAAGGAGAAATTAGGACCCCATGACTGCACCAGTTGGAAACCACTGGGCTGCAAGTATGTGATGTTGTACTTACATGCAGAGACTCTGCTCTCTGCCTGTATTTTCTCATTGTCTTCTTATTTTGCTGTGGTCGAGACGATCATGGGTGCAGCATCTAGGTGAGAAAAAGGTAGCTACAAAAATTGTGGACAGAACACAAGTATAGTTAAAGTATAGTAAATGCCAAGTGGACAAAGGTTGTTCCAAAACGGGAGTGAATATGGCTTTCATTTTTCACTTCCGCTGGCGATGTTAATAAACAGTAACGAACAATTCCTGCACAGTATGCCTTTAAAGTAAGACTACAGTATGTAGCTTTTGCTCAACACTGGCCAATGTGGCCACAAGTCTCAATGACAGTATAACTGTAAATGCTAAAATATAGCATGATAGATGCACACATAGAGAGGAGTCATGGGGTCAGCAAACTGACTCAGTTATTGCAGTTTACAGCAATATCTATTTAAAGATTCCTTATGCTAGCTAACGTTAGCCACCACGACATGAGCTGCTGGTCGTACCAGACTAAGTGAAGCTGTAGCAGCAAAACTTCTGTGTCATGAGCTGAGAAGGCTGTGTTTATTTCTTCTGAATTCAACTCTTGATTTGTAAGAGGAAGCAGGGCTGCATGATGTGTGATTATTTTGACAGATATCGTGGTTGCCATATGAGTTACAATTTTTCGTGGGAACGGTTATTTTTGCATTTCACTCTCGCTGAAAAATGATGGTAATGTGATGTTAGCTAGAGGTCTGTACTAAACAAGCATGTTCCTTTATGTCTGGTAGCACCACAATGCTTCATTTATAATAGTATGCTGTGACACGTTTTACCTGTTTCCAAATTTGTAGCTCCTGCCATTTGGATATTGTACTTGGCCATATTGCAATTTCGATAATATTTCAATTAATTGTGCTGTCCTATTGTGCTGTCCTCCCAAAGTCCTCTAAGACAGCTGACTGTAGAGGGTCTTGGGAAAATGAAGTGTTGCATTATTCTTCATTCACCACTTGTTGAAATGCTGTGTATCTGATTGGGAAAATGTGTTATTTCAGGCAGATGTTTCAGTTTTTATTTTTGCCCTTATTTGAAAGTGACAGGAGAGACACAGACAGGAAATGAGAGGAGAGAGAGTGAGCTGCATGATACAGAACAAGTGGTACCCAGCTAGAACAGAATCATCTGCATCTAAACCAGTAGCTCACCAACAGAGTGCACCATGTTTTAGTCTTGTTCTGTCAGTCATGTTGTAGTGGATGTCTTATATTTTTTAATGGTTGCTCTTATTCTGGAGTGAAACTCTTCATTGAATTCAAGCAGATGATTTTGTAACTGTTGTTGCTTTGTTTCTGAAATGTAGCTGAAATCCAGTGTAACACATGAAGCTATCACCTCACGCTAGTATCCTCATAAAGCTGTCAAAAAAAGGAAACGCATCCAGTCTGACCGGCCAATGATGTCTCTCACCATGACAGCCCCAGGGAGCGAGGAGACGGTCATATTTCGGCGTGAGCGTAGCACGTTTCGTCGGCAGGCTGTGCGGCGGCGACACAACGCAGGGAGTAACCCCACCCCACCCACCTCTCTCATTGGATCTCCTCTCAGGTACGCCGTGCACGGAGCAGGCAGTCGTTTTCTGTCGTTGTGTTGCCTGGTATGAGCATGTTGCCAGGTGGCGCTCTGTCTCCTGTCCCACATCAGCACCACCAGTTTGCGTTTGCTGCAGTGCATGACATCGAGCAAGACGTCATCTATCACTGGATGGGTGTCTCCACTCTGCATGTGATGTCTTTCGTCCTCCTTCTCTCAAGACTTCACTCTTTTCATCCTCCTATCATTCGATCTAATCTTTTAAACTCCACATTTTGAGCATGGATCAAAGAATGGAGCCCTTACAAAGTCAGAGGCTCAATGCCACAAGGCCTGACTAATCTACTTGGCTGACACACCGTCTCCCCTCAGAGCTGCGCATGATTCGTTCAATAATACAGACATCCTGCTGTATCACATTGCTCTGCCCTTTTGAGCGACCTTTCTAAAGAGAAAGATGAAGATGACATTGATCATTTTAAAAATCAAAGGTTTAAGTCTGTCCCCACAGGAATAGTTTTGTTATTAATTGTGAGAGTAGCTGCTTCCCCTAGCTGCTCTTTAATAGATTTTATAAGCCCAGCTTTTAACACTGTCTAAACCAAGTTTGTGTAAATTTAACGCAATAACTCACTGGAAAAATATATTTACAGATTCCCTCTATTTTTTTTTTTTAAAGGAACACTTCATCTGCAAAATAACCAAAAAAATCAGTTACTCACTCACCATGTGTTACCTTGAATTCATAACTTTGTTCTCCTCGTCTCCACAATACAACGAACATGAACTGAAGTCATTCAGGACCACATTTAACAACTATATCAAAACATCCATTTACAAGTGGTAAATGGACCTGCACTTGTATAGCACCTTTCTAGTCTTCTGATCACTCAAAATGCTTTTTACACTATGTCACACTCATTCACACACACATTCATACACTGGTGGCCAAGGCTACCATACATGATGCCACCTGCTACTCAGTAACTATTCACACACACTCACACACCGATAGAACAGCCATCAGGAGCAATTTGGGGTTAAGTATCTTGCCCAAGGATGCTTCAACTCCCACAGCATAATCCAAGTCTTGTACTGTTACTGCTGTGGCTCCGAGGTAGAGTGAGTCGTCAGCGGGCAATTGGCGTTCTGATCCCTGGCTCCTCCTGTCCA